ATTCTTCTGGTTCTCTTTTGTGTGTGACTCATTAGGTTCCCGATCACGATGCCTAACGATGTGAATTATTATTTTGATTTAATCAAAATCGATAAATTAAAACATCTATTTTAATTTATCACTAATTAATATTCGCCGTCCCAGATTGACATCTAGCAATGTGTGACATGAAATGTCACGTGATGTGATAAAACCAAATTTGTTCATTTACCGTGAAACTATAATCCTTTAGTCAATATGATCCAATCAATTATGAGATATGGATATGTGTCAATCTCAACTATCGATCATATCTTTTATCCCACTATTAAGTCTATGTAAGTCGAAAACTCATTTTCGACTTATGAGTTCACATTGGCCTAAAATTTCATTATCAACTTAATTGGATAAAATGTAGATCATAATCTCTTACTATTTAAGAGTGACGAATCATCTATCGATCATTCACAACCTTCATATGATTCTTGACATATCGGAACGATGTTGTATTAGCGATCCTTGGCAGAGCAACATCCAACACCATCAAAGTATGACTGTCCTCATATAAGTTACTATGATGATCTCAAGTCAAATGACCAATTCCACTACCGAACGTTAGAGATTAATCACTAACATTCAGATAGTTATCCATGTGGAATCTTTCAGCGGGTCTCCAATGTTTTGTTCTATAACAAAACATCCACGTGTTCATTCAAGGGTCACCACACTTTAACTTGTGAGATCAGTTACTTACTTCACAAGTAAGAATGCCACACGCGATGGTCTATCCGTAATAATGATATCTGTATTTCGTTATTACTTCGACCACGGACAATTTAAGATTCGATAATATGTAATTTGTATCTCACAATCACAACTTATTGTGATTAACAAATCACCAAAAATTGAATCTACGGATTCTATTATTTAATTTATTAGAATATTAATTCAACTTTTAACCACACAGTACATAACCTTTTATCAAAAGCTGCTAAAATTTTTATAGAAAATTGTCCAACAACCCTTTAGCATATGGTCTTTTTTACTCAAATTATTAGAAAATTATGTGCTAATCGTTTTCTTTGACTGGAATAGAGATTTATACTAGTTGTTCGAGATATTAATGGTGATACGTGGCTATAAAAAATCATTTAAATCCTAATAACTAATTTTCTCTCACAAATCGAAGGTCTTGACTTTTAACCCCCAAATCAACGTCCATTAGGAATGGAAGATGCTAGTCGTTTAGGGTAAGTACCACATCTATTACACATCAAAATAATAATTAACATATAAAGAATCGGGTTACTCTTAACAAGATTGTCTTTTCAAAATATAACTTAAAAAGTCCCAATATTGGTAAAGATCAACTGAATATTGTTTAGTAATATAAAAATGTGATTTGGATTTTCAAATACAGCATGTTTGTTGCCCTACCATAAAAAGGCAAAAGAATTGCTTATTCTCCAGGACGCTCCAGCCGTTGATTCTCTTCTAATTTAAAAACCAACCCAAAATATTAAAAATAAAAATAAAATACTGACATAAGCACAATCTTACAAATTGAATCCATAATCTCCACTCTTTACACATTGCGTCCTATTTTCTCTTGAGACTGGCCAAGTAATATCCTGCAGTTTGGTGGGAAATCAATTTCTTAGAAGTTTTATTGAGATTAATCATTTCTATACTATTCAGTTATGTGATTGTGTTTTTCTTTAGGTTGCGTGAACGTGCTCCCTTTGAACTTTGAAGTCTACAGCTCAATTATAATTCAAGCATATGGATTAGACTACTTTGCCATAAAGATTTGACAGATGTAGTGCCACGTGAAGTGGTGGCAGAAGATCATTGGATGAAAAAAACTATATTTTTAAACAGTTCAATGATAGAATATCACGTGATATTATATCAAACTTTCTGTCAAACTTCTCTGACAATGTAGCATGATTGCAAGTAGATTACATTATACAAAAAAAATTTATATATGTGATTATAAACAATAAAGTATTTTAAACTCACTTCTTACAAATAAGTGACTAAAGGATAAAAAAACACGTCTACATTGAACTAGTGGAGACACTTGGTAGAGATTGTGGTTGGCCTGGTGGAGGGACATGGAAGTGGGTGGGGCAGGTGGCATGGGAAGACAATGGTGCCCATCTGGAGAGGGGGAGGGGCTACAAATTTATCAATATCGATGCTATGCGCATGAGAAGGAAGAGTGATTCGAGACACAGAGGGGATGATGGTTCTTGTTTGCTACTCAAACTTCATGATTCTATTACGTCGAAGATATTGAGATCATGACACTCAGATATGGACTTCTCTAATCATCAATGCAGCCATCATTAATACGGGGGATGTGATTCACTTTGCATGATCCAAAATATTTCTTCTAACTTTACTTTTGCATTGAATGCAAACGTTCTATGCGATATCTCATTATTTCTACATTTGGTTGGAGGTGGTCTCGTCGTTACATTTCTCGAACGAGAGTGATCCACAAACTAACTTCTTTTATTTTTTTATGTTTGAATCCATTTGATTGGACAACTTGTATTCCAGTACCATTTGCATCGACATTTATTAATGAAATTATTTGCTGTTTCCAAAAATGAGCAAGTTTTTTCAGTTACGCTCAAGCTTGCGACTTAAGTTATTAAGTAGAGTCTTTTTAATTAATTCAAATTAAGTCGAAAGAATAAGTAGAAGCGTACTAGGCAGAATGGGGTAGACCGCCTCTCACTCTGAGCCACCTAATAATTGTGCAATCCCCAAGCAATTATTAGAAATATGTTTAAATATGTTGAAAGCAACGTCTCAAATGCCACGTGGCAGATGCCAACCCAGGTGACCGTTGTAGCCAGACCGTAAATTCAATGATCCAACGGCCAAGATTTACTAGCCGTTTGATTTGAAAGGAGAAAAAAACACATTTCATGTTTTTAGCTGGACAATTGCCCTTAAATTTCTCGACTTTTTCATTCCTCATCCGTAAACCTCTTCTTCTTCCTTTTATGTTACTTTTCTCTCTAGATGCTTTCGTTCTGCATTATAGGGTTGTAGAAACTGTTGGTCTGGTGAAGGAGAGGGTATTTTTGTTCATTCAATCAGGGTTCTTGTGATTGGTCTTTCAGATATCAAGAAATTCACAATGGTTGTATCTGATGAGAACGATTCCACTCAGATTAAACCNTTTTTTTTTTTGTTTTTTTTTGGGTTTTTTTTTTTTTTTTTTTGAATTTGAAAAATATAAGGAGGGGCAGTAATCGGCGGGAGAAAGTTTGGAATGGAGCTGAGACCCAACAGAAGAGCTCTGAGTGAGATTAATCAGAATTTAGTGGGAGCTCATCCCCATCCATATCCCTGTGTTGTAAACAAGAGAGGCTTATTGGAGTAAATCTCGACTCTCTAGTTTAATCATCCTTCATATTTCTTTCGTTATTTTGCTAATGCATTTGAATAATTGCTATCTTACTTTTTGTTACCCAGGAAAATTGGGATTTGTGATAAGAATCCTCCAATTCAAGCACATAGGCCAATCACAAGGTCTGCTTTGTGTAATAGTTTACTTTTATCACTAACTCCTACTTTTTGTTTTCTCTAACGGAATTGTTTGATTTATAAAGGAAATATGCTGCACAGATGTCAATCTTGCGGCAACCCTGTCCAGAGGTATATTAGCTCTCTATCTCCAGAAAATTCAATTTTTCCTATGAATGAATAAATTTAATGCTGTTTAATTTTTCCTGTAATTGAATTCTATCAGGTAGTGAAGAAGCCAAAGACATCAGTGAATGAGTTCGCTATATTGGAGGATACTCCTCTTGCAGATGTAAAGAATAATGGAGCAGTTAAAGACCAACCTGTGCCCATGTCTTTGGAACAAACAGAAACAGAAATCAGTGAAAACAATCAAATGGTATGAATCTCTTCTCTGTGCATTTCTATTTGATCACCCTTGATTTTGTTGAAATAAATTGATCAAATAACGTACTTAACTGATATAACAACTTGTAGGAGGAGGTTGAAATGGCAGACATCTTCGAAGAGACCATTATGGATATAGACAGTGATGATTCAAAGAATCCACTTTCAGTTGTCGACTATGTCGAAGATCTATACAAGTTCTACAAGAAAATGGAGGTAAGAAATTATAATGATTATTTGAGCTTATCTTTGAAGAAGCTTGGTCTAACGCCAAAATATCTCCAAGATCTAATTGTGATTGTCTTTCTCCAATAATCGTTAAAATACTATCTCATCTACAGTTTGAATTTTTAGCTCATTTAAATAAAAGTTTCCTTTTCGGATTTCTTTTTGAGTAATGTCTTATTGACTCATGCATCAAATAACTTCGTGCCATATGTGTGCCATGTAGGGTGACTGTGTCACTACAAGTAGCATTACTCTTTCTTGGTATGGGGCTTTTTAAGAATGTTGAACATAATTAATCTGAATTCCACAATCACCCATACACATGGTAGGTGGTTATTTGTGCCATGTGTATGCCACCACGTAGGGTGACTGTAGTAGTAAGTGACTGATTGCAAATAGTATAACTCTTTCTTTGTATGGGCCTCTTCAAGGATGTTGAACTTAATTAATCTGAATTCCACCATCATTTATTGGGTGACCATTCAAATGGGATGTTTTGCTGTGAATGCACAATACTCTCTATAAATGGCATTAGCACGAACAAAAGTAGAAAATCATGTCCTTTAAGGTGTTCGTTTAATGTAGTAGCAAGATGTCAAAACGAGGCATTATTACAAATATGAGCTTAACTGTCCTGAATCCATCATTTAATGAGGAACCATTCAAATGGGATTATTTACAAGGAAAACACTTTAGACAGATACATGTATACAGTGCATACATGCATACATACATATAAAGATCACATAAGTGTTGTCAATCATCTTGAATGACGGTATCATGAACTAAGAAGAAAATAATGTCATTAAATGCATTCACTTGATGAAATGGTGAGATGTCAAAAATCATCACTAAATAAATGCTTCCTTGTTTAAGACCGAAACATGTGCTTTGTGCAGAGTTGTAGCTGTGTTGCCCCAGGATATATGGCACAACAATTTGAAATCAACGAAAGGATGAGGGCCATTCTCATTGACTGGCTCATAGAGGTATACAACATGTTATTGACTGACTAATAGAGGTATACAATTTATAAATTAGAAATATCTGTATTGATGATTACTTTTTGTCTTTCTGATGATAATGAACAGGTACACCACAAATTTGAACTTAGGGAAGAAACATTGTTTCTAACTGTGAATTTGATAGATCGATTTTTAGCAAAGCAAACTGTGGTGAGAAAGAAGCTGCAGCTAGTTGGTCTGGTTGCCATGCTATTGGCATGCAAATATGAGGAAGTTTCCGTTCCAGTTGTAGACGATCTGGTTTTAATTTCGGACAAAGCTTACGCAAGAAAAGAAGTCCTTGACATGGTATTCTACGCGAATAGAATTGAGATCTCATTCATAATCAACCAAAGAGATTTGTTCATATTACTGTGCATTGAAGCTAACACGCACTCTCTTTGTGCAGGAGAAGTTGATGCTTAACACTTTGCAGTATAATATGTCTGTTCCAACTGCATATGTTTTTATTAGAAGATTTCTCAAGGCTGCTCAGTTTGATAGAAAGGTTGATACTTTCAGTTTATGTTTTACAATTACGTGACTACATATTTTCTTGGAGAAAATACTTAAAAGAATTGTTTTTTGTGTAACAACAGCTGGAGCAACTTTCGTTCTTCTTGATTGAGCTATGCCTAGTGGAGTATGAAATGCTGAGATATCCACCTTCCTTTTTGGCTGCTGCTGCTATATATACAGCTCAGTGTACACTTTTTGGTGATGGGAATTGGAGTAAGACCTGCGAGAGGCATACCTCCTATTCAGCAGATCAACTACTCGAATGCTCTAGACGTATTGTGGGCTTCCACCAAAACTCAGCAACAGCCAAACTTACCGGGGTTCATAGAAAGTACAACATATCAAAGTTTGATTATGTAGCAAAATCTGAACCCGCAAATTTTCTTCTTGTACAAACCCCACCACAGTAGATAGAGAGCCATGTACAGTTACTAACTCACTGTAAGTGACTGCTATTCCTTCTGTTGACACTTCTTATTGGTGGTTTGGGAGCACGGTGGGATTAGAAAATAACTAGAAGCAACTCATGTTGTTGCCCCAGGGTTACTGATTGTTATTTTAGAAAAAAAGCCGCGGATTCGTTCACTATTTGATTGAACACTTTAACTTTGTACTTCAGTTTTATTCTAAGAATAATCAAACTTACAGTTCTGTTTAAATGGCTTATATTACAAGTTCTCCTTTATTTGAGATGTAGATAGTCATTTAATATCAGATTGTATTGGAAGATGAAGTTGTGTTTGGCTGTACTCATCTAGAGTTATTGCTAGTTAGGATAACATTTTTGTTTACGCTTTGGCTCGACTAGTTAGAAAATAACTTTTTTTGCAACTAGTCGGGGTTCAGCTGCGTGGGCGCTAAGTTATAATGCCTCAGGCACAGATCTAAAGAAGCGGGGCACAGGCAGGCGCATAATTGCCTTGTTGACTGCCACGCACCCCTACCCTAAGATGACAGGCTCCCTCATTGGGTCGAGGCACCAAAAACTCTATGGTGTCAGGGACCCTAAATTTCTCCCTAATCTCAAGTAAGCCCTCCATTGATGCTACTATTCTCCTTCCTGCATTGCCTACGCACTTTAAATCCCTCCCATCGCCTCGCAGATCCTCTTAAGAGGATTCACATCTAGCAGATCCACCGCCTCTGCATAGATCATCCACATATCAACCATACTACCAACTTGTAGAAGTTTTTAAGCTATAATTTTAAATTCTCCATATTTATTTATTAAAATGATGTATATATCTAATGATTTGTATATTAAACGCGGCAATTTATATCAAATGTTTGCTATTGGCTTGAGCGAGTTCTTTAAACATGTTTCAATGTCACCTCTATATTTTTTATACTTTAAGGGAGCCAAAAATGTTAACTTGAAACGGATGATAGGAACTCAAATAATTACATTTATAAAATTTGATGGATACTTCTAAGTTTTATAAATAACATCATAATATAAGGGTTTGAGTTTTTTTTTTTTTTTT